ACAGGTCTCTTAGTATAAATATCTTTCATTTGCAAACAACGCATCAGTGAACTTTTGGAAGTTATCAGTCCGCTTTCGTATCAGTTACATTTACATTTTTGCATTATTTTAGTCTGAAATGGTAAGTTACTAAAAATAATTAGATATGTTTATCGTCGGTTGTAATTTTTACAAATTGGCCTATTAGTAATAGGTAATTTACTATTTATCATCAAGCTTAATAATTGTATAATTATAATTATCAATAACATACAATTAACTGGAATGAATTTTTTGTCGGATTATACAAATCAAAACAGTGTAGACAGTAGCTGATAACATTCGATTAAGATTGTTATTAACTTTTTATGGGCTATATTCTATATTGTCTTATTAATAAATACTAACTTGTCGAATCTTAAAAGGATTTCATACCAACAACAAAATTCCTTTTGGAAAAACAGTTTTAACAAGTTGTTGCATTATAATAAATACTAGAAGTACCTGCATGTAAGAATTAGTCCATTAATATTTTTTATATTTTGTAACTCCGTTACTCTTAAAATAAAACGAAACCAGCGTTTAAAAAAGAACAAAATCAAATACAAATTCGGTTTTCATCAATTATAGTAGGTATTGATATTCTTAAAAATAAAATAAAATAATAAATTAACAATACAGTAAAGCTTCTTGTAGCTCAGTGGTAGTACGTGCTATGCAAACATTGCGTTTGTCCGTTAGGAAACGGAGGATTTTCTAAAACGTTTTCGTATCATCATATTTTTTAAATAAGATTGTAGTTGTTTTTGATATGTATGTGTTGAAACCGATTTCGTAGGTTTAAAACACAAACTTTACAAAGGCACTAATGCAAACAGTTTGTGTTTAATCTATTTTTTGTCCGAGAGTATTTTTCGTCTCCTTGTTATCATTTTCCCGCATACTACCTATGTAATTTTCAATTTGTTTCGGCTTCTTCAGATATTCATTTTAATATTATCACTTATGTGCGTGTCTTATCTGCTTAAATCTTCAAACAATTTATAAGGCGTGTTCTAGCACCACTTACGAAATTTAAATTATTTTACGTGAAGAAGTTCCACGTAAATAATGAATACAGAAGTAGGAACTGGAATTATGTAACACATCCGCACTATAAACACAATTTATTTATTAGGAGATAATATACAATTTATTTCAACGGAAATATAAAGATAGAACTAAAACAAATGGAGTAGTAGTTGTTACCTGATGCGTTCACATCGAGGGCTTAGCAATCAAATTTATTTATATAGATTACTTGGTTGTATAAATAGAAAAAAAATTAAAATGAACACAATTAAAAAGTAATTTAAATTTTGAATGATGATGATTTCAATCTCCTAATATTTGTGTACTCTAAAATTAATTTTAATTTGATAAATACACCCAATAGTAAACAATACACTCAAAAGGATTATTCTGCCCTGTGGTATAATATGACCATGGCTCAAAAAAAATCCGTAATGACATCCCTGTGCATTATAGAGGGAGGCACAGTACTGCCAACATGTAATCACATGGAAGCAACAATCTCAAAAGGAAATAAAGATTATAAAAATTCCATAAGGCAAACGACTTTGAGGAAACAAGATAATTTTAAATAACTATACTTATTTTTTTATATATAACAGCTTAAAGTTTTGCCTATAAATAAATGAGATGAGATAAATAAATCAGAACAAAAATTAAAATGAAGGTTTACTGCTTTCCAGAAAGTCTTATCAAAAAAAATATATTATAGAAGGCACGCAGATTAAAAACTTTTCAGTCTACTTTTGAAAACTTTTATTAAATAAATTTGGAAAAATCGTTACTATGGCAAACCATTTACATATTGCGTATTATTTAAATCATTAAAGCTGTACACCGTTGATTGAAACTTTTTTCGTGATAATTTCGTGTCTTAGAAGAAATTAGTAATATACTTTCGTGTAATATTCTTTATAGACTTATAAAAAAAATTTAAAACAGAACACAATTTAGACATTATAAAATTAGTTACGTTAGTTCCTACAGTTCTTAAATTTGCTAACTGCTAAACATACGATTACTATTAAACGAGTAAATATGTACACTAGTTAGCGAGTAATAAGCAAATGGTTAAAGGTGTTGACTCAAAAAGGTCTTGAGATATGAGTTTCTATAATGTCTAATTAACATTTAAATTAAAGATTATAATATTTCAACATAAAGTGTTTTTCATTTTACACTNAAAGTGCTTTATTTTTATTTATTATACTATGTTTATCTTATAACAATAAATAACTTCAATACTTAGCGGATATAAATACTTCGTTAATGAAAGCTATTTCAATTTTTCATAGGTGAGTTGTCTGGTACGGACGATCTCTTTATAATAGAGTGCAGATCTTTTGGGGGTTCTTGGTCGCTGAGGATCAGTAAGATCGACGTAATACAATCCAAATCGATGCCTACAACAATATAAACCATAAAAAATATTCTGACCGATAGCAATTACCTATAAATATACATATACATAAACAGAAAGAAATGTAAAAAAACTTACGCATATCCAAACATCCATTCAAAGTTGTCCATAAGACTCCAGGCTGTATAACCTCTAACATTTACATTATCTTCGTAAATGGCATCCAGCATTGCTTTTAAATGTTCCTGAAAATAGAAAAGTAATAAAACCAAAAAGATTCTTAATTTTTCTATTATACTAATTTAGAGTTCTTTTTTTCAAAACAAGAATGAATGTCCTAGATATATACAACTCCAGGATACTTCCTTCGGTATTAATTTTATATTAATTTTCAGTAAATTATAGTTATAAAAGGGTCTAAAAATTTTTTTACGCATTCAAAGATATAAGTAGCATATTTGTAAATATTATATTGCTGGGCTTCTAAAAATTCACTTCAACCTTTACGGGAGCATCATGTAGAATATTATAGAGTTGTTGAATGTTTTTCCGAAACTCGTTATTTTCCAGAAGTGTGTATCACCTAGCAGCCAGTAACAAATCGCTATCGCTCTGAAATACATTAATAGCCTCTAAACATGGCAAACAAAGATTTAAGTAAACTAAAAGTTCATTTTTAATTAGTTTTAATGAAGCTTTATTCCTGTCGTCCCGCCACATTGCGTTCATAACAGAGTATACTCTTTCTGGAAATGCTGAAGTGGCCGGAACGGACAGCAAAAGTGAAATACTTTCAACAGATTTGGGAAATCAGGTTGTTCCGTAAATATGCCTTGCCATTTTTCTGTGCAATATTATTGATATAAAAATACTCTAAATTTCGAATAATCGCTTACAAAATTACGATGTTTACTTAAGGCCTTAAATAAAGCATTTTTGCGTACTTTATGTGTCTTGTAAAGTATAACGTACGCACAGTAGAAATAGTGTACAATACTTTATAATAAAGTACGGGTGGCAACCCTAAGTATAACCCCGATTGTCCGAAATTCGATTTATCCTAACAAATTGCGTAAAACCATTTCTCTGGATTACCTAACTGCATTATCCGAACTCCCAACTATCGATTGATAGATCGTCCTAGTGTTCTGGAATACCCAATAAGCTCTAATATCATATTTTCTGATTTTTTAAGAATTTTACTTCATATAAACCGGTCAATTGTAAAAATATATTTAGGGGGTGCTAGGTCTTAATTATCTAAAATAAAATACGGTATCTCACAGACATTAGGCACTTTAATTATTACGTTTGCTTCAGGAATAATGAGCATCATAAATTATATCATAAAGAGGTTGCTTATATGGGTACACCAAAATACAATTTTGAAGCCAAAAATAAAACTTCAAAATTCAAATTATGAAAAGTAAAAAAAGAAAATCATGTTTGTGTGTTTGTGTAATAATTTTATTAATAATAAAGGTATCGGTTTTCAAAGAGGATTGATAAATGATTCTCATTAATTGGAAAATTACAAAAATTTAGTAACATTAGTCCAATTGCATTTATAAAAGCGGTTTTTAAATTAATTTATCTCGAGAAGAAGATCTCTCTGAGATCAGTCTCCTTTCTTTCGTCAATTTCGCGATATTTTCGTTAAATCCGTATTTCTTCGAATACAATATAAGGATTCAAACTGAAGCTTAGTATAATTAAGTGATCAAAAAACATATCAACTTGCGCGTATTATTATAATCGGAACATAAAATACATTTCTCCTTAACGTTTGATATCCTAAATAAGGTTCTCTGTATAGGTAATTGCTTATGTAAAATATTACATCAAAAGAAAATTCTTGGATATCTCTAAGCTCATTTCCTTTTTGGCAAGATTTTCCTGGAAATATTAACTCAGTGAGATAGCCAATTCTTTCTTTTATTTATAGAAGTAACAAATCTAAAATACGTTGTGGGTTTTGGAGTGAATCACCTTCGAAATTTTTAAGAATTAGCTAACATATCATATAAAATCGTATGATAACTGTTCATTCTTTTTTTAATATTACGGGCGGATGATGGAATTCTGACCAAGTAGATTTCACTCGTTTCAGAACATATACGTCAGAAGATCGTAATATAAAGAATTAATATGTGAATTAAAATTATACTTCAATACTTTAGGTGGATTTCATACACATTGATTTCTAACTTTTTGAATTAATTTTCATAAGTATTCGATTTCTAAATAAGGAACTACGTATGCCACTCTAACTGGTTTAGATAGAAGAATTACTTGAATCTTATTAAGTATTAAATGGTTTTCAAAAAGTTAGCATGGGGTCAACAATTGATTAAATTCTAACATAAATGGTTGTTTTTTATTTTCTAACCCTCTTCCCACCAGTTACGTTTAATTATTAGAACTTACTTTTACAAATAGGCATTTAATTAATTTTCACAATTAAGTCATGTACATGCGATTTCCATAAATAGTCTTAATCTAACAAACGATAAAATTAAAATTTCGTCCGAAATTAGGTCATATTCAAGCCCCAATAATGTCAAATGAAAAAGAAAAATGGTCTTTTTATATTGTGACTCGACGTACTTGTATGGGGGCTTCAACTTTGTAAAAATCCCCTAATTCATTACAAAAGTAGCTGTTCTGTAATAGAAATGAATTTTGTCATTAATCATGTTTATTTTCCAATTAATTCCAAAACCTATCGGGAACTGTACCCAAATAAAAACTGGTCAAAACCATTAATAAACAGAACGTTTCACTTAATTTTGATGGGAGCGCCAAAGGACGGCAAAAGGGTTTGCAATATTGAAACTGACTTTTCCAAAACTTAATAATGATGTTGGTACCCTCTTGTGGATGGCATACAGACACCGACTTTTTAATAATCAATATAATATATGCATAATTACATATATACAATTAAAACTAGACGGATGTGACCGTATGACTAGTAATGGGTTGTTCGCGAACTAACTATCAAAAAGAACGATTCTTTTCGACGAACTACACGAACCAGTTCGTACAATGAAAGGAACTTGTTCAGGGTGAAACATTATACTTAACTTATTATTTGTAGTCTTTAATTCGTTAATTAATAAAATAATAAACTCACAATCAAATTAACCAGTCCATCTCGTTCGCATTCTGCTCATGAATATTATTCTATGCTGTTCACTGAACTTATAAAAGAAACGTAAAAAACTGTAAAAAACAACATGTTTACTTGGAAGTTGGGCATATTTGTAGTTTGGAGATTACTTGCTACAAATAATTTCTTGCTTGAATGAGCATTTTCTTAGAGCGTCAATGTTTTTTCCTAGTATCTATTTATTTTATTATTATTCAATTTCTCAATGTTTGAAGAGGGTGTGGATACGGGTACATATAATAAATATAAATAATGTTTAACTTGTTGTATATATTTGTGCACGGGTGGTTCCATTCCAAAGAAAAGATCTATAATTTCATCTGAGTTCCAAATAATAAAGTGTTATTTTCAACTTGAAACTTTTGGATTTCCCCATTTAGTTTTGAGATTTTTATATCAAAAGCNTGAGAATATTCCATACACCTATACTATGTGCTTTATTAAAAAATTAATTGAAAAAATCATCACCATTATTTGAAAAAAGCCAGAAAATCAAATCTAAACTGCAAAGTCGGCAACTACAGGTATTAAACTAAACAAAATTAGGAAAACCTGGATAACAAACAAACGAGATTGTAGGATTAATAGAAGAAAAGCGGAAATACAAAAACAGATAGATGAGGTTATCTCATAATGAGAGAAGAGTTCGATGTAACATTAAAAAACCTAAAAAATAATAAGGCGCCAGGTATAGATGGGATACAGGCGAACATTTTAAAACATGTAGGACAATAGGTTAAAGATCGTATGTTTAAGCTTCTTAGTCACATTTACGAGCCGGGAAAGTCCCAGAATTAATATTTTATTTTTTACCAGCATTACTAAAATGTACCGATTTACACAAAATAGCAATGACGACATTAAAGTCTGATTTGAAACCTAAATAGTTTTTTTATTAGGTGACTCCTAGATGTTGACTTGACCTTCCTTAAGGAAAAGATACGTAGGGCTAACTGCTTACCCAGTTACTAAATGAACATATGCTGACGTCACTAATGGAATTTCGTCGCGGAGGGTGAGAGCTTTTGAATGGATGTAGTAGAATTGACAAGTCATTGTAGGTATTAAAAAGAGTATGGATATTGTCTAGTTATAAACACACATACATCGTATAAATATTATGTGCATACTTAATTTTAGAAGGGTGTTATTAATAAAAAAAAAATTGTTTGTTGGAATCGTTCTTATAAATACTATATGTAAGTATATCTACACGAATTAAGGTTTAGAATTCCAATTTCTCATGTCTTTGAGGACAGGAATGGATAAAAAATTCATTTATCGTATTCCTACTGTTATTAGAATATGAAATGAAAATATTTTTATATAGATTACTTGGTTGTATAAATAGAAAAAAAATAAAAATGAACACAATTAAAAAGTAATTTAAATTTTGAATGATGATGATTTATAAACCGAAAAGATTTAAAAAATTAAATTTTACCTTTTTTTATAAAACTGCTTGTTTTAAATATTTCAACATACAAAAATTAGAGTATATTGTTCCAACAAAATATTCCAAGTGGGAAGTTTTAAATGCACCACCCTGTATAGNAAAGTTTGTAACTTGACTCGGCTACAATAGAAACTAAGCCATTGTAGTTTGCATTTAGTGTTTTTAAAATAGAAAATGGGTTTCAAAACTATCTAAATACCGTATTAGATATTAATATTAGATTAATTAATTAATTAATTAGAAAAGCGCATTTAAAATAGAAAATGAAGCTTTATGTATTTCGAATTTGTATTTGTATTTTGAATTGAACTATTTCAAATAAATTACAACTCTAAATACTTATTTCAAGTACAGAAATAATTAACAAGACAAACAGGAATAGTACCTAATATTTCGTATGTCTAAACCTTTGAGGGAGAGAGAGAGAAGGTCTAATTTAGTTCCTTTGTCATATTGTGATAAGTAAAATTAGCAGTATGTCATTTAATAGCTAAATAAAATAGATACGTAGCAGAGATGTGATTTATTTGATATACTTGCATTTAAAATAAAATGTAAATATAAAATAAATAAATATAAATACCTATTTTTAAGATTTGCTAGTATCATCGATCAAACATTATTTAAAATAATGAATGAAAGTTGCTCACATTAGCCATTGAAGGTATTAGAAGCTTAAAATGGGAACAAGCAGATATTCCATGAATGCCTTCTAATTCTTTAACCGAAAAGTGCCTAAAAAATTTCTTGAAAATGGATAATCTAAATATTGTATCGATATTGTTTTCCGGGTTCAATGTCATGGTCCATGGAATTTTAAAGTTCCAAATTGATATCAGCACCTGCCAAATCACCATTTAGCAAGAAATTACGAAATTCTATGAATTACGACAAAACAGCCCCAAGAACAATATCGAATTGATATACGCCAGCTCTGAA